TCTCTAGTTTATGGCACGCTTGGACCCTGAATGTAGCCGTGTCATTGTTCAGCAGCCTGCCACGCTCTGCCAACCTGGGGACTTACAATGGACTTAAATCAATGGCCTGCCATGTGGTTAGGGAACACAGGGACTGTGGCATTTTATTTGTCAACCTTGGGCTTGTTAGCCTCAGCAGCCAGTAGCTGCCTGGGTGAAGAGATGCCTCTAGCTTCAGTAGGCCATGAGCAAGAGGCAGAGCTGAAGCCCAAGGTCGAGAGGCTTTCACACGGCCCCGAGAGCCTGGCATTTTGAACTTGGACTCAAAGCCTCCAAACTAGGAAAGAATAAACTCCTGTCTGTTAAGGCCATCCCATTTGTGGTATATTCCTGTCAGGGTGGTACTAGGTAACCAGAACAAGAGGTAAACATCTTTCTGGTATTATCTGCTTTCACCCAAAATTTATCTGACATCAGCAATTATGCCCCTCATTCCACAGGCTCTTCTGAATCTGGCTTGAATTTCTGGCAGTTCGTTATTAATGTACTGCTGCAACCAGTTTTGAATTCTCTTCAGCAAAATTTTACTTGCATGTGATATTGATAATATTGTTCAATAATTTCCTCATTCTGTTGGATCACCTTTCTTTGTAATGGGCACAAATATGGCTAGAGGCAAGAAACATCACGGTCCCAGGCTAATTGGTAATTCTGCAAATTTCAAATATCCTCCCTTGTCATCCACCTACCACCATCCACATATGAAGCCCTGGAAGCCTGACATACAGCTGTTAGGGAGGCAGTAGAGTGGTGGGAAGCACAGACTCAGGAGTCAGACTAACTGATGAGATGCTCAGCTCTGCAATTCATTTGCTTTGTTACTTTGGACAAGAGAACATACCTGAAGAGCCTGGTCCTTATTAAGCACTATGTAATGCTAGTTATTAGTACCGTTGTTGGTGGTGGCACTGTAAAATGGCATTTCCACCACATGGCTCTGGCCCATCTCTCATGCTCTCTCCCCTCTGCCACATATTACTCTCGTAACTTATCCCCGTCGCTGCTTCCGCACATCTTCCTCCTCTCTTGGGCCATTTCAGGCTCAGCTACAAATCACAAGCACCAGAGGCCTGGGGCAGGACCACCTGGCCAAAGGGCACCTGGTATCTGAGAGAAGGAAGATTCTTATAAATTGGTTCCTCTGAAACCAATCAGGGAAAATCCTGATGCCTCAGAAAGTGATTCCTTCCCCTGTCAAGGGGAGTGGAGATTTTGCTACAAACTACTTGTTCCTTAGAGTAACAGCTTGAAACTGATACTCTCAAGGTCAGAAAGAAAATCACAGGGTCAATTCAAGCTCTATTTTTGAATGTTAAAAATCTTATTGGCCAAAATACATATCGTATCATTGATCACACTGATCAGGAGTCTTTCTTCAAGACCACTAGATCGTAAGTAAGTCTAAGAGCTAGAAATGAGTTTTTACAAAGCATCTAGATCAAAGGTCACAAACCCAAATATCCAGAGCGCCAGTGAGGTTGTTAAGTCAGAAAGGAACTGGAGCCAGCTGGGAACTGTGTGTCCAATGTAAAGAGAAACAGTGGATCTGTGTAAAGGGAGGGATGGTACTTGATTTCTGTCAATTACTATCATGGGCCTGATACTAGCAAAGGTTCTAATTGTTTATGAGAAGCTAGAAATTTAGATATTTATGTGTGGGCCAAGAAAAACACACCTGCAGGCCAGATATGGCCCAAGTGCTGCCAAGTTGCATACCTTGACCTAGACAGAATAGTGGTTCCCATCCATAACCCTCAGAGCCCTGGAGCTACAAAGCTACTGCACAGCGGTCACTAAATCCAGTAGGCACCATGCAGGCACCATTCATAGACTGAATAAATAACGTGTCTTGCTCATATAAGAACTACTTTTCTCTACTGTAAAAGTACATCATAACAATAACAAAGCAAACTTTATTTCCAACCTTCACTAAATGGATGATTTTTCATTTCACATTTTCTTAAATGAAGAGATTCCAAAAGCACAATGACTGTGAAATATACACAGATTTTATTTACATTAGAAAGGGAAGCCTCACATTTGAAATACTTACAACCACCACCCAGACTAGTTCTGCTATTTTGATTGCTGACCTCAGGAGAGATAAGGGGAAATGTCCCGAATATGCAAATCCACAGAGACAGAAAGTAAATTAGTGGTTGCCAGGGACTGGGGGAAGGGCAATAGGGAGTGATTACTAATAGGTACAGGGTTCCTGTTGGGGGTGATGAAAATGTTCTAGAGTTAGGTAGTGGTGACCATTGCACAGTCTTGTATATATGCAAAAAAATCACACTTAATTGTACACTTCGAAATGGGTAAGTTTTATAATATGTGAATTATACATCAATTAAAAGAGACAGAGAGAGAGAGGTCAAACAACTTGTCCAAGGTCACAAACCTTGCAGCTGGATGAGCCAGGAGAGGAAGCCAGGCTCCTGAGCCCTAAGCCAGTCTCCCTCTCCTCAACCTGAGAAGGTGTATTCTAACTCAAGAGAAGAACTATCCAAGAAGTGATATACAGCCTCGATGGAAAACCCAGGATAAATATGACCAAAACAAAATTTTGGACCAAGTTTTTTCACCATTACCTATTCAAAGTTTCACAGGAGCTCAGAGGCCGAAGAATCCTGGATAACCCCATACTCCAGCCCCACACCACTGCATCTCCTCAAATGTCTCTGATGAGGGGCTTTCAGATTGTGGTGGTAAGGAACTTGCTGTCCTGCAATGCTGAGTAGCACTGTAACTTGACAACTTAAGTTCTTCCTGCGTCGCTATGAAGCCTGCCCTCATATTTCTCTCATCTCCTGCTCTCACCCTTCAGAATGCTGATTCCCCTCTCCACCTCCTCCCCAACCTGCCTCCCTCAAACACTGCCACTGTACATCTCCATTGTAATCTCCCTTCTCCTCTTTGCTCCATTTCCACAATAGCTGGCTTCACTACGAACAAGAGTTTATTTACTTCCAATTCTTGCTCTCAGTCTGCAAGTATCAGTAAAGGATGACTGACTCAAGATGCAAACACAGAGAGCACACACAAGAAAAACAGGATTGAAAGAATTTGCCACTATGTCAAGTACTAGGCAGAGCAGGTGGTGGAGAAATGGGGCACGTATTCCATTCAGAACATTCTCAAATAACAACGGGAACCAAGGCCACTGAATATAGCTGTATAAGCTGTGTCCTGCAGAATTCCAAGGGTGCAATGCATAACAACCAGGTGGCATGTGGTGCCCACTGGAATTGTGCAACAGAGAAGCCTGAGGAGGCGCCAGTACCTCATCCCACAGGCACACGAAAATGCAGGTCCGGCAATTAGGAGACAAGGAGTATATTATAGATTGAATTGTCTCCCCCCAAAATGTGTATTGAAATCATGGCCCCTATATCTGTTAAAGAAGGAACTCTGGTGGCATAGTGGTTAAAACATTCAGCTGCTAACTAAAAGGTTAGCAGTTTGAATCGACCAGCCTTTCTGAAGGAGAAAGATGAGGCAGTCTGCTTCCATAAAGATTTATATCCTTAGAAACCCTATGGGGTAGTTCTACTCTATCCTAATGGGTAGGAATCAACTCAATGGCAGTGGGTTTGATTTCTTTTGGTTTTATACCTGTTAAAAGGAGCCCTGGTGTTGCAGTGCTGCTAACCAAAAGGTTTCAATCCACCAGCCACTCCTTGGGAGAAGGATGTGACAGTAGGCTTCTCTAAAGATTACAGCCTTCGAAACTCTATGGGCAGTTTTACTCCATCCTATAGGGTCACTAGGAGCTCTAGTGGCATAGTGCCTAAGGTATTTGACTGCTAACCAGAAATTGGTGGTTCAAACCCACCAGCCACTCCATGAAAGGAAGACTGGGCCAATCTACTTCCGTAAAGACTTACCACCTCAGAAACCCAAAGGGGGTCACCATGAGTCGGAATAGATTTGACAGCAGTGAGTTTGGTTTTTTTTTTTTTTTGGTATAGGGTCACTATTAGTAAGAGTCTACTTAATTGCAATGAGTTTTTTTTTTATATTGTTAATGTATAGTAATCGTCTTCTATAATGCAATCTAATGTAGCACTCAGTCAGCTACAGTCCTATCAGTGGAAGGTAGATCATCAATCTCATCATTTGTGAGTCATAAGGAACAGCACAGACATAAAGACAAGCAAGCACAAACAGGGAAGACAGATGCCACGTGAGGATCACCAAGGAACTAAGGACTGCCCAAGGCTACAGTCAAGGAAGGAATCCACATGCAAGACCCTGATTGGGACTTTTAGCCTCTGAAACTGTAAGAAAATACATTTTTGTTCTTTGAAGCCACCCACTTGTGGTATTCTGTTACAGCAGCACTAGATAATTAAGAGAATATGTCTTTCAATGACTCTATCAATGAATAGGGACTGAAAGCCCAACTGAGTTTCGTATACTTGATGTGCTTAAAACGCCCTGGGGTGGCAGTGTACCAAAAATGAGGATTACTCAGCCCACCCTCAGAAATTCTGAATCCTCTGCTCTGGGAAGGGGCTGAGGAAGCTGTGGTGGTATTTACTAACACGCAGCCCCTTGAGAAACTCTAGCAAACAAAGCTGAGGCTTAGAAGGAAAAAGACACTAAGAGGGCCAAGAAGAGATTGCATTATTGAGGGGAGTTCATTTTATACTTTTACATGGTTTGTTCCTTCCCTCCCAGCTCTAATTCATAAAGGATATTGTTTCTGAAGATCACTAATGATGGCACACATATATAATTCATGAGACGGCCTTCACTGGAAACTCTGACCTTGGTTATTCCACACCACAATTTTAAAGAGTCAGCAGAGAGACACTCTAGGATCTCAGATGAAATAACTATTCTGACAGCTTATTAAATTTACTTCCATCATTTGTCAATTCATGGGAAACCCACATTCTGGCTGATACAAGTCCGTCCTACCTATATATCAACATGGCAAACACTCTGACACCTACCTTGTGTTCCTCCTTCATCACCTGTTCGATGAGCTCAGATTTCACTGGAGGTTTGGAATACTGGCCTGAGAGAAGGCCATGTCCTAACTTAGTCCTGGACAGCAGGGAGAAACAAAAACAAACAGGTCATTGTTGTTTCTCCTTAGAGATGTTAAAATTACCTATGCATTTCAATAAGTACAGCAGCTTTCAGGTGGAACATTTTATCTTAACTACTCACAAATAACTGATTTCATTTCTTTGATTCTGAAAATTTTCAAATTGTCCTTATTTGAAAGATAACTTTATTAATTTCTTTCTTCTTATAAAAGTAACACATGATCATTTTAGAAAACTTTTTAAAAACAATGAAAAAAAAAATTGCCTTTCATTCTGCAACCCACAGACAAACACTATGACTGTTTTACTGGATTCTTTGTGGGGGGAGGGGGACCATCTGGCACTTACATCTGTGTGTTGAAATCTTGTGTTGGATCTAATGGAGAGTAGTCAAATATTCTTGGAAGGTTTCCTACATACCTAGAAAATGAGAAGCGACAGTCAAAACATAGGAAAAGAACAGAACCCAAACAGTACCGTACTGCTTTTGTGTCAAAATTAAACCATCTACCTGAGGAAAAGTGCTTCCAGAGACCCTGGACCTCCCTATAATGTTTCTCCTTTTCTCAGGGGTTCTCAACCAAGACTGCATCTTTGCAGTTACCTAAGAAGCTTTGTTTTTTAAAAAAATACAAACTGCTCTCCCCAATTAAAAAAAAAAAAGAAAAAAAAACAGTTGCCATTCAGTCAGCTGTGACTCATGGCAACCCCAAATATGTCAGAGTAGAACTGCCCCATAGGGTTTCCAAAGCTGTAAGTCTTTAGGGAAGCAGATTGCCTCATTCCCTCCCCCACCCCCCAGAGTGGCTGGTGAGTTCAAGCCTCTAACCTTTTGGTTAGCAGCTGAATGCTTTAACTACTACACCACCAGAGCTCTGGAGAACTCCCCAGGGTTTCCAATAGATGATTTTTCAGGAGATCACCAGGCCTTCCTTCCCAGGCACCTCTGGGTGAACTCAAACTGCTAACCTTGCAGTTAGCAGCCAAATGCATGAATCATTTGTGCCACCCAGGAATGTTATGATTTTACTGATCAGGACTGTCATTTTGGATTCTTCTAAAAGTTCCCCAGGAGCTCTGGTAGCATAGTGCCTAAGGCACTTGACTGCTAACCAGAAGGCTGGCGGTTCAAACCCACCAGCCACTCCTCAGAAGGAAGGTTGGGCAATCCTACTTCTGTAGTGATACCGCCTCGGAAACCCAAGGAGGGATCACTATGAGTTGCGGCCGACTCGACGGTACTAACAACAACAACAACAAAAGTTCCCCAGGTGATTCTAACATACAGCCACAGTCAAGAACCACCAATCTGTACCATCACAATTTTAACCTCAAAAACCAACAGAATACTGTTTAGGGGGTACTGAGTTTATGTTAATGGTGGTAAAATAATTTGGAAACAGATATGGTGATAATTGTACAATATGAATAATGTAATCAATGTCACTGAAAGATACATGTAAATATTTATGAATTGGCAAGTGTTTTATTATATATACTTGTACCACAATTAAAAAGAAAAAAAAAAGTAAAGTTTGGAACTGTTCCAAAAATCTTCAACTGTATAATACAAGCAGTCTTCAATTTACAATGCATCCAAGTTAGGAGGAGCCACACTTACGACCCTCTATTTATATTTTTTTGTGTATCTTATTAGCATTATATACTACATACATTGTTGCAGCATGTAATTTCTGATGTTATAATTCTCAGATATGTTTCCAACCCGAAAAGACAAATAAAGATCGGATTTATAAAAATACTGAAAATAAAAGACAATAATAAAACTTAAAAAAAAAAAAGTTTTCGACTTACATCAGAACTGACTTATAACAAAGTAGTCATCTGAACGTGACCCTGTCATAAGCCAGAGACTGCCTGTCGTAATAGTAATGACTACCATTTCTTGAGTGTTCCCATACTAGGAGTCTGTCTTCATCATATAAGGAATATGAGAAAGGTGTTATGATCATTATGCCCATTTGAGAGAGAAATCAGGGTAAGATTCATTAGGGAGCTCTTCAAAGTCACCAAGCAGTGCGTGATGAAACCCAAAGTGGAGCCAGCCTACCTGTCTCCAGAGCCGGGCTCTGACCACTCTGCTGGCTGTACCTGCTGCCCCTACATTGTCCTCTGAGGAATCCACAATCCCACAATCTAAATAGTTCCTCCTGACACAGCAGGGTTGATTTTAACACCTCTCTCTAGTCTTAACACACAATCTTTCCTTTCACTTCTTAAATCATTTCCTCCTTCACATCCTCTACTTTGTGCTTCATTATTCGTCCTTCAGTCTTCAACTCTCTCAGCCTGGAAGCTCTAGGAAGGAGCATTCAGCCCTTCATGAGCCCTACCCTGCCAGCATCTCTGGCCTCATCTCCCATCACCCTCAGAGCATGCAAGCTTGCTCCTGTTTCAGCATAATGACACTGCTGTCTCTGTCCCAGGACACTAGGAACTGCTCAGCAGCTCCCTGTCAGCTCTGTTTTAAAGTCATCTCCTTAGACACAACCAAAACATGGCCCACTCCCCACCATTCCATAATTTCCTGTCACCTGGCCCAGGCTGACATCTTTCTTAGCATGAATCACTATTTGCAATGATACAATTTATTTATTTTCTTTTCTATTTAATCTGGTTCTCCCACTAGAATGTAATCTCTATGAAGGAAAATGCACTAGAACAGTATCTGGTATGAAAAAAGGCACTCAATAAATATTTGTTGAATGAATAAGTTCATATTATGTAATCATACAACCAATCGATTTTAGAAACCAAAAGACTGCCTATAACCCAAAAGAAAAGGCACTACTGCAATAAAACCCTAGCAAAGAACACTAGTAATTAGCAATAGGTGGCATAATGCCTAAGGCATTTGACTGCTAAGCAGAAGGCGGTTCAAACCCACCAACCACTCCTCAGAAGGAAGGCTGAGCAATCTACTTCCGTAGTGATACTGCTTCAGAAACCCAAGGAGGGGTCACTATGAGTCGGATCTGACTCGACGGCAGTGTGTTTGGTTTTGGTTTGGTTATATATAACACAGAAAATCCTAAAACTCTTGAAATAAGACCAACATGAGATATATGAATCTTAAATCTAACAGACATGAAACACATTTTTTCCCTGAAGAAATACTTCAGAAAATTCTTCATCCAACTTTAGAGTATAAAAAGAATTTATAAAACTGCAAATTGCAGAGCACTATAAATGTTGGTGGACTTTAAGAACCCAAGTTTCTTCCATGCTAAAGGAGCTCTGGTAGCATAGTGCCTAAGGCACTTGACTGCTAACCAGAAGGCTGGCGGTTCAAACTCACCAGCCACTCCTCAGGAGGAAGATGGGGCAATCTACTTCTGTAGTGATACTGCCTCGGAAACCCAAGGAGGGGTCGCTATGAGTTGGGTCTGACTTGACGGCAAACAACAACAACAATTTAAAGAAATAATGACTATATAATACCAACATAAGGACATTCCTGCAACATTTTCAAAAATTATGGGGTATGAGTCATATAAAATGAAGCTACATTGTTCAAATGATGACAGTACAAGTATAAGACGTGGGAAATAACTTACTAAAAAATATGATACATATTTGTATGTTCTGTAAGAATTCCCAGGGGTATAGTAGAGCTGACAAGAGACAAGGTTGTAGTCACTTCTTGGTCACAGCCAGCTACCCAGGGGGAGGGAGTAGTTGAACCTGTGGGCTCAGGACCATAGTCACAAGGGACATCAAGTTCAATTAGCATAACATACTACACAAAACATTCTTCTACCTCCTACTTTGGCAAGTAGCAACTAGGATCTTAAAAGCTTACAAGCAGCCATCTAGATGCAATGATGGGTCTCTCCTCATCCAGAGCAAGAAGAATGAAGAAAACCAAAGATTCATGGAAACAATTAGTCTTCACGACTGGTACACCATGCAATCCTCAGCCTATACGACTATGAGACCAGAAGAACTAGACGGTGCCCGGCTACCACTGTCA